GTCTTCGAGCGCTCCCTCCTCGGGGATAACAATCTCAGACCACTGACTCAACTTGAGCCTGTGAGCTAGACATATTTCAAACGCTTGCAAAGCGAGATTCTCGGGTAAGACGGCAATAACCAGGCATATACACAACGGAGCAGCAAGCTTAGCAAGGGACAGACGATGGCGAAGGCGGGTCCAAAGACCACGGGACCATTTACCTCCCTCGAAACCCCAGGCTTTGAGCCAAGTACTGGTATCGAGAGCCAGTTTACGATCGGAAGGGGCTGTAAGCTGCAAACCAGGGACCATACCATAGGGAGCGAAGGCTTCGACACCAAGGAGACACATAATGCCCATAAGAGGTTGTTCCATTTTCCTCAACTCGGACTCGGACAGGGCTGAGGAGGATCCTTCAGAGGAGTCTCCACGAGTTAGGGAATCGTTCACCACACGGGTAAGGAACTTGAAGGCGTCAGTAGTGCTCGATTTCTCGGATGATGCACCATCGTGGCTTAAAGGGACGCGTGCTCTCTTAGGGTTTGGAGTCATACTTGATTAACACAACCAGAACCGGTTGGTCTAGTGTAAAGCGTAAAAGATGAGTAATAAGTAGACTGCAATAAAAGGGGAGACGAGACGCCAGACGTTTCTTAAAAGCGCACGTCTTGTACATGCAAGTTACATGAACACAGTATGCTAAGGCTGAGTGCAATAGTCTTACTACTACACGCGAGAAATGTTTGCCCCGACATTTCGCGCAGCGCGAAATATCGTATCAAAAATTTTTCGTCTGTACGAAGCCAGAGTTTTACGGAATAAAACACGTACGAACTTAATGATGTATGAAGTAGTGTGTACCAGTCACAGCTGCACGAGGATATGGCGTAGGGATTTGCAGAGTACCAGACATGCATGCATGACATTATGTCATTGACATAGCAATGCACTGATTTACACTGTGTTCGCTGACAATAAGCGGACACTGCACGTAATAAGACAGTACGAAACGAGACTGTATATGAAAGTATGTCACTATTTTACTGATGTGGTGCTGTATGTAAGATATGATGCTGTACCGAGCAAAGTAAGATAATCCAGTAGTGCACGAATCAAAGGTGTATCATCCAAAACTGTATCAGTTGCAAGTACACGAAGTGGTACATGAGTAGGCATTCTGCGAGTTGCAACTGCACGATCTGATCCTCACCGTTCGACGCACCCCCGAGTAGGTTAAGCACGGCGCTTATGGTTCTATAAACCGCTACAATGACAACAGACGCCCGCTGCATCGGGATTCTCTACAACCAGCTGATAGTGATATCATTATGTGACATAACTGATGTCTGGATATGAGCAATGATAGCGTGTCCAGCGTCTACATGAAGTGGGTGAGTGGAGTGCAAAGTCTAGGCTGGTGAGTAGAATCAAAACAGCGTATTAGGCCACGTCTTTGGACTCTA